ACCCTAAACCCGAGACCCTAAACAACCACCGCAAGCCAGCGCAAAAGTTGCTGAGGCCGAGCAGCCTTGCCTACTGCAGGGGCCTTCATGATTAGAATAAGTTCTGGACTCCCTTCTACTATACCTAGAAAAAGAAGCCCTGAGGAATAACATTGGCACTTATTTAAGCTTCTACGTTACCCCTAATACCCGAAACTCGAAACCCGAAAGCCCCCAGCCCTAAACCCCAAAAGCAAACCCTAAACCCGAAACCCTAAACCCTAAACCCTAAGCCCTAAACCCTAAACCCTAAAAGCAAACCCTTGCATCGAACGGAATTCTGAAACGAGCCAATCCCAGGCCCTAGGAGCCGAATCCCAAGCCCAGCATGGGGGCCTTAATAAATAGAATTCCGGTTTGGGGTTTAGGGTTCAGGGTCTAGGGTTTAGGGGTTTAGGGTTTAGGGTTTAGGGTTTAGGTTTTGGGGTTTAGGGTTTAGGGTTTAGGTGTAAATATCCTTTAAGGAGTTTTTCGGGAATGGCTTTAGCAACAAAATCCGACCCCTGAAACAATACCATGATCACAATGACCCTACGCATCCCTACACTACATGTACAGGTGGGGCTGATTGTCCTGCAGGGCCAGGGACGTCAGCGCGCCGTGGTGTGATCCACAAGTCTGTTCGGAAGCTGTTCAAGGCTTGTTCCCTAGGGGGCCCATACGTACTATCACTACGGGTTTAGGGTTTAGTACTGTCACTGAGTTGGGTCCCCAAAGCCATAATAAAGATGGTCTCTCGAGGCCAATTCCCGAATGGTAGCGTGCTCTAGGCTCGATGAAACAATCCCTAAACCCTAAACCCTCAAACCCTAAACCCTAAACCCTAAACCCTAAACCCTAAACCCTAAACCCCTAAACCTTCAATCCGAGGCACATGGGCAGTGCGTCCCTGACTGTGGAGTTCCAAAACAAATCCACCTGGAGGCGATTGTTCCTGAGCTCCGGCATGTGCGGTTTAGGGTTTAGGGTTTTGCATGAAATCTTCAGGTGTCGGATTTCGGCTTGGGTTTAGGGTTTAGGGTTTAGGGTTTAGGGTTTAGGGTTTAGGGTTTAGGGTTTAGGAATTCGGGATCAGGCTTCATCCGAATTTAACAAACCCTTAGCCGACAAAGCCAAAGATCAGCTGGCCCAAGGGAACGGAGGTGCCGCCGGGAACCGAGGCCTCTCAAGACATAGTCTGCAGCTGAAGCTGAGAATTGGATGAAAGGTCAGCTGAGAGATTAGGTCGGAGAAGGATCCCTAATATATATATATATATATATATGTACACACATACATATATATATATATATATTTGATTTATTTATTTGTATTTATAGATATAAGGACGGTTATTTTGGGATTACCCCACCTACCTTCTCCATCCCAGCCTTGGAGGGTTTTGGGGCGTAGGCTTAGCGTTGAAGCTGAGAGTGCAAGGTTTAGGATGTAGGGAACCCTAAACCTTAAACCCCTAAGTCCTAAACCCCTAAACCTAAACCCTACGCCCTAAACCCTAAACCCGCTAAACCTAAACCCTAAACCCTGGGACGATGCTGCCGTGCACAGTGCACATGCCCGGTTACAACTTCAGGGCTGCAGTCGTCAAGAAGAGCGCAAAGCCAAAATTTCAATAGGGCCTAGGGTTTAGGGTTTAGGGCTTAAAGACAAAATCGGTAATTATTCAGGCTTCTACAGAAACCATGACCCAGATGTCCAGGGTGGCTTGGCCCAAGCTCCCTCACTCGTCTGCAGACCAGTAGTCCTTGACCGCCACCCTAAACCCTAAACCCTGAACCCCTAAGCCCGAAACCCTTAGACCCTGAACCCTAACCCCAGTCTTCAACGGAGGTGCAGTGCCCCAAGCACTCCGCATCATTCTAACTTCTCCGAGTTGAAGCTCGATGGCTTAAGGCGAAGATTTCGGGTGTAGGGTTTAGGTGCCTTCTGCACTAGATAGACTAGTGACTAGTATTCCCTAGATTTCCTTCTTATACTATTACACGGCTCTAACCCATACAAGAGTCGAACCTAGAACCTTAGATTACAAACTCAGGCCCTGAGATTATAGTACAGACGTGTTCCATCTCAATCGTCAGCTCTAGCGACTACGTCCTCTTCCCGGCCTCCTCCCCCCAAAGAGTTCCGACCGGGACAGTGAGCGCCCTGGCGGCAGAGAAGCTTCGCAAAGAAGGTCCGAAAGTGCTATATACGAGCCTCAATGTTCTTTAGATATTATATAGATATAGATATAGATATAGTAGATACAGATATAGACATATTATAAATACATATATACTACAAACTATATAGGACTGTATGTACGACAATTATTTGTCAGCATTCCGAACCCGAAATTGCACCCACTGAATCTCTCCCGCTGGGTCACGTCGGTCCGGTGACTTTGCCAGGCTCGCTGAAGCCAGCTACTGTGTACCCTCCAACCTCAGTCAAAGGAATCGAACTCGTGTGCTGTAAGTTAGGGCAGGGCTTATGGGGTTCAGGGTGTAGGGTGCTTTAAGTCAGGGTTTAGGGTTTACGATTTAGGGAGTGCTTTCGATAGAAAGCTAGACACAGATCGACTTGTGCGTGGGCCAGAACTCTTTGCACGCATCAATGGCAACCTTCGAGCACTATAGCCGCAAGTAATATAGGGGCCTTAATATTCGAATTGGGTTTTGGGCGGGGCCCCTTGAAAATTAACCAAAAATACGGAACCTCCCAAAAAAGTATTGGTAATTTGGGGCCCCTACGTTATGGTCCTGTGAAGTACGTCGGGAACCTCCTGGAAGCTAGCATCTTTCCACACCGGCGGGGTCTCACGAAACTTGCTTTGAACTTTACCCTCCAGCTTGCCCTAAACCCGAAACCCTACCCGTACCCTGAACTGTAGGGTTTAGGGTTTAAAGTTTAGGGTTCTCATCCTAAACCCGACAACCAACACCTGTATAGATCCCTGAAAAGGAACTCTCAAGAACAAACCCTAAACCCTAAACCCTAAACCCTAAACCCAAATGCTGCAACAACCAAGGCTGGAGCTGTCTTCGTTGCGTTCGGCTGAGACCAATCCTCGGTCTTTAGGGATTTTTAGGGTTTAGGGTTTAGGGATTTTTAGGGTTTAGGTTCAGGGTTTAGGGTTTAGGGTTTAGGGTTCAGGGTTCAGGGTTTAGGGTTTAGGGTTTAGGGTTTAAGGTTTAGGGTTTAGGGTTTAGGGTTTAGGGGCCTGGGTGTGTAGTAGGCCTTAGGGATGACAGAGTAGGGCCTTTTCGGCTTGGGATTCAAGGGGTTTGGGGACTTGAACAAAGCAAGGCTAAACCCCAAACCCCAAAACCCCGAAACCCAAACTAGCCTAAGCCCCAGACCCTAAATACCCTACAAAGCCCTACAAACCCTAAAACCCCGAAAACCCAAACTAGCCTGAGCCCTAAACCCTAAAATACCCTACAAAACCCTAAAACCCCGAAAAAACAAACTAGCCTAAGCCCTAAACCCTAAAACCCTATAAAACCCAAGAAACCCTAAAGAACCCAAAACCCACTTTGCTGTAGGTTCTTACTATAAGCCCTAATATGGGATTTATAGGGGCCCTACAAAAAGTAGGTTTTGGGTTCTTAAGATAGTGTTTAAAACCCTGCAAGGGATCTTGGTCCTGCTTCGAGTTGGGAGCTTGAACCTGAAGGGAACCTGTGGTACGAGCCGGAGAAATTCGGTTTAAGGCTTAGGGCTTTTAAGGCCTAGGGTCTTTAGGGTTTTCGGTTTAGGGTTTAGGGTTTAGGCTTTCTAGGGTTTAGGGTTGAAGCTTTAGGTGCTCTTCCATGAAACCTTAAGTGAGACTTCCCTTAAAGGGTTCCTCAAAGAGGTCTATAGGGATTAGGGTTGAGGGTCTACTTGTTCCTCAAAGGGATCTGTAGGGTTTGCGTACGTTTATTCGTATCTTGATTGGAGGTAGAACTGGATATAACTATAGCTACCTTATTTACTACCCTAATTACTAAGTCCCACGATCCTCTAGTAGGGTGCCGAGTATACCGGTATGGGTTAGGGTTCAGGTCCCGGTACGAACTACTCAAGCCCGCTAGGCCCTTAAAACGCTCATGGAACCCGCCTAGTAGGAACCCTTTAAAGGAACCCTCAACAACTAAAGTAAAGGAACCTATATCTCTCTATTGAGGCACCTATATGCTCAGAACTCCGAGCATGAAGTGCTACTCGGATGGCCTCAGGCTCGGCAGTCCAGCGTCACATTCGGATTTTTGAGCGTTGGGGATTTAGGGAGTGGTATTAGGGCATTGGGGTGTCGGGTTTAGGGTTTAGAGTTTCGGGTTTAGGGTTTAGGGTTTGGTTTGGGGCGTTAAGCCATCTGGAGTTTCGGTCCCTTGAATTTATGTGCCTTCCTTTTACGCCCTGTCAGAGACTCAAGATCTGTGGCTCCCAAAACCGGCACCCAGCATTTCGCAAATCGACCATGTAACTGCTACATCCCTGAAACCTTAAATCTCTAAATGCTACAGCCTTCCTTACATCAAGCCTCTGCAACCCCACACCTCAAACTCTAACCCCGAAGCCGAACCTCACCCCTGCACAACCCCACAGCGAAATGCCCCCTCGTAAGGTCTTGAAAACAGAAGCCTGGAAAACTACGGTACTAACATGCATTCCTTGGGGTTCCTTCGTAGTATGAATGTACCCTAAGACACACCGAAGCCCCAGTCTAGCTGTTCTGAGGCACCGATAGACTCACGATTCAGGCCCCTCTCACAGGAACCCTTTGTACCCAGACCCCCCCAAAGGATCGAGCAGGTAGATCTTCGAATTTGGGACCATACTACTAAAGGGCGTAAACCCCGAAACCAAAACCTTAAACCCTAAACTCCTAAACCCCAAACCCTTATCCTTTGGAGGGATCTGAGAGCAAGGCAGGGACATTGACGAAACGAAGGGCGGCCCAGCGTTCTGTGCCGTTGTTGCGGTAGTAGCCTAGGAGTCGGGGTCCAGGATCAGATCGTGGGGGGTTCCACACCCTAAAACCCGAAGTTGCAGTCAGGATCCTACTACTTAGGAAGGCGTGCTGGAGTTAGGATCTCGTCTCTTCTGCCTTTTCGCCTGGGGGCTGACTGAAACTGAACAACAAGCACTCGCAAGAACTGCGGAGACCCAGACCCGCTGGAGGATCCAAAACGTGGATCCCTTCAAGGGCTTCCTGCAAAGTACACTTTAGTAGTGGTTTAGGGTTTAGGGTTTAGGGTTTAGGGTATAGGGCAGCAAATTAGGGGATCGACTTTTTGGATCTTTCGCGTGGTATGGCAAGTAAATCGGAATAATTACTAAACCCCTAAACCCAAAGCCCTAAGCCTAAACTCTACACCGTAAAACCAGAGGCTCGAATCAGCCCCAAGCTAAGAATCGTGATGTAGGCGTCTTAATACGCAGATACAGGGTTTGGAGCTCCTTCAAAGCGTAACCTTCAGGCTCCAGAAATTTATACTACTACGATGGAATTCAGTCCCAAAAGACCATCCCATGCTATGGTTTCGGGGACCTGATTCCATCATGGTAGTATGTATGGAGCCTCTGGAAAAGGTGCTAAGGAACCCTGCGGAATAATGTATAAAATTATTTGGGGGTTTCCGAAAATAGGGGACCTTAAAAACGAACCCTGAAAAGTATAATCCTGATTATAAGGACCCAAGCAAAAGGTGCTCCATATTTTCGGAAACCCCCATTTCGGCGTCTGTAACAGGCCACCGTCCTCCTGACGCAGAAACCATTCGGCGATTCGGGCAGTCACAGCTGACCCTAAACCCTAAACCCTATGAAGAATAAGCCCTAAACCCTAGACCCGAAACCCTATGAAGAATAAGCCCTAAACCCTAAACCGTGCAAACATGCCGAAACGCCATATTCCGGGCTCCCGTGAAGCTTCTCAAAATTCCCGAGCTTCCAAAATCCTGGAAAAAAGGGATATACCTCAAACCCTGTTAGGCGCCCTACTACAAGAAGTTCGGGTCTATTCCTTGCTTAAGGGATCTTATACCTTAAACACTATTAGGCGTCCTACTGCAAGAAGTTAAAGTCCATTCCTTAATTAAAGGATCTTAGACCTTAAACCCTATAAGGCGCCCTACTACAAGCAGTTAAAGTCTATTCCCTCATTAAAGAGTCTTATACCTTAAACACTATTGAGCGCCCTATAAGAAGTTAAGGTCTATTCCTTCATTGAGGGATCTTATGCCTTAAACCCTATTGGGCGTCCTACCACAAGAAGTTAAGGTCCTTTTCTTAATTAAGGGATCATATACCTTAAACCCTCGTAGGCGCCCTAGTACAAGAAGTTAAGGTGTATTACCTCACTAAAGGATCTTATACCTTAAACCCTACTAGGCGTCCTACCGAACAAGTTAAGATCTATTCCTTCGGCGTCCTACTAGAAGAAGTTAAGGTCTATTCCTTAATTCAGTAAGGGATCTTAAACCTTAAACCCTATTCAGCCACGGTTTAGGGCTTAGGGTTTAGGGTTTAGGGTTTAGGGTTCATTCGGCGTCCGACTAGAAGAAGTCAAGGGTTTCGGGTCCCTAAACGCTATTCTTTAAAGGGGTCTTGTACCGTAGTCTCCAGGAGCGGAGGCCCCGAAAGCAGCCACTAAGCTTTGGAGCCCCTGAACCCGAAACCCCTTTAGGGTTTAGGGTTTAGGGTTTAGGGACTAAACCCCTAAACCCTGAACAGTAAACCCCTAAACCCTAAACCCTAAACTCCAAACTCCTAAGCCTTCTCAGCTGAGCCTCTCTGAGGGCTCCTTCAAAAACATGATTATAATGAGTCTAATGACTTACAGCTCTTCCTTCAACCAGAGTTGCAACATGCAGGGTTTAGGGTTTAGGGTTTAGGGTTTAGGGGTTTAGGGGTTTAGGGTTCAGGGTTTGGGGTTTAGGGGTTTAGGTGCTTAGGGGTTTGGATTTGGGCTTGAGAGTTTAGGCTTTAGGGTTTAGCTCTCCAGGTCTACAGAGAAACTACGGAAAAGCGTCCATGTTCACAAAGCACCACAACCACTGCAGGCAGGGCGCCGCTTTGCAAGAGGTCGCTGAAGTCCGTAGCGTTCATGGATGCCCCCACCTAACATGGACATGGGTTCACGCATCGGGGCGCAAACCCGAAACCCTGAACCCTATAAACCCTGAGCCCTAAACCCGATAAGCCCTGGACCCTAAACCCCATGAACCCTGAACCCTCAACCCGAAACCCTAAACCCTATAAGCCCTGAGCCCCAATCAACCCCAAACGGCATAGGTCGAAATCGAAGGAATGCCTTGAGCAACACACCTCGGGGTCTTCTGACTTCCCCCAAAGCCCGAAATCCCCAACCCTAAAGCCCTAAACCCAAAAAACCCTGAACCCTAAACCCCTAAACCCCTAAACCCTAAACCCGAAACCCCTAAACCCTAAACAACGAAAACCCTAACACCTCAAACTTCGAAGCCTGAGCCCCCCCCCCCCCAGCTTTCGGCAGCTCATTTTGCGCCTGTTGCCGCCTTGAGGACCCTCCACGTCTCGGCTCCGCCGCTGTCCGAGGACCCCCAAAAAGGCGTCGTGGAAAAGTTTGGGGCAATGCTCAGGGCCCCCCAACTTCCGTTTTTTGCTTGGAAGTGAAGGAGGCTCCTGATGCATGCCATAAGAAGGGTTTAGGGTTTAGGGTTTAGGGTTTAGGGTTTAGGGTTTAGGGCTTAGGGTAGGCCCCCAGGTTCCACCTTAGGAAGCTCAAAACCGAACTGGCCTCCGTCGCGCCATCACCGGGAGGCTCCACTGCAGGTTTGGGGGTGTAGGGTTTATAGGGCTTCGGGTAACTTGGGGTTCTGGGGATGTAGGATTTATAGGGCTTCGGGTTACTTAGGGTGGATTTAGGGCTTCGGGTAACTTAACCCTAAACCCTAAACCCTGAACCCTAAACCCTAAACCCTAAACCCTAAACCCTAAACCCTAAACCCTTAGGGTTCTGGGGATGTAGGATCTAGGGCTTAGGGTAACTTAGGGTTCTGCACTGCTGCTCAAGACTTGATCATCTTCATCTTGGCTGCGCTGAGTCAAGCTGCCAAGCACTAACAGGGATGGCGTGACAAAGCAACTTCCTCCTTGAGCAGAAAGGAACAGCTGAAGCTGCAATAACGAAAGAGAGGCCATCCAGGCACTCCCTATTAAATGGCTGCCATCAGGGTGGGAAGGCACACGGCAGCAATGTCAACATAATTACCACAAACTGTCAGCGCAGTGAAGAGTTTACCTATATCGATGGCCCTGGTGCTAGCAAGGACTTCGGTACTCGAAGCCACAACGCAAAATCTCAATTCCTGAGCCTTTCTGGTGCAATGACTTATGACACATGCGTCGACTGTCTTCTTGGATCAGAACAAGACCATAAAAGAAGTTGTGGAATCAGATGGCAGGGAGAGATCCAGAACATGCTGTCGGAAGGCCCTCTCAATCCCCACCCAGACATCCGCAGCTCAACACAAAACGGTATACTCCTCAACTAAGAGGAGCTTCGCAAAATTTCGAACATAAATAAACACGACAGAGGCTCTCGAAGAACTCTAAAGGAATGCAGGGCCAGAATAGGGCTCAGGGTTGAAGATTGACGGTTTAGGGCTTTAGGGTTTAAGGTTTAGGTTTAGGGTTGGTTCAAGGTTTCGGGTCTTACGGTTCACGGTTTCGGGCTTTTGGGCTTAAGGACGCTTTGGGCCATGGGCTGCAGATTCCGGCCCCTGCATATTCATACGCTTGCGCGTCGTGTATGTAGCCAGTAACTCTCAAGCATAACCGACTCATAACCTAGGTGGTACGTATATGACTGGTGGCTTTTGCTGGAAAGCACACCTGCTTTGAAGCACACGAATGCATGAACTAACCCTGCTACGGTCTTACCAAACCAAACAAGCAACTACGAAGAAGAGACACATACCAAACCAAACAAGCAACTACGAAGAAGAGACACAGCTCTCGCAGCAAAAGGGCTTCTGAGTGATGGATGTGTCCATCCTCCCATTCAGGAAGATCACTGACGAATGCTGGTCCGGCTTGTGGTCGATGATCAATGCGTGCCTGAAGAGCTTCCTTCAAAGCTGCACCGGTATCAGCTACTCAGATCTTCCAATACCTCTTAATTCAGGTATATACGTTAAGTGCTAATAGGATCACTAACATGATATTCCTGGGTTTAGGGGTTTAGGGTTTAGGGTAAATTGGAAGGTCCCGGTAAGTTTGTCCCTCCCACAGAAGCTGTCGTCCATTCTGCGCCCAGCCGACTTTGCACTGTGATTTGTTCCAGCTAACACAAGGACTGATAGAGGGCCCTTAATAATTGACGGCGTTCCGTCCTGTTATAATTGGCGGTTCATCGTATAACAGACCCCCAAACCCTATTGTAAATATTCAGGCCCCTATTCCCTATATCACCTAAACCCTAAAGGAAGCCTGCATTCAAGAGCCTTGCTGCCAACAGGAGTCTACTAAAAACATACGTGGGGCCCATTGCCGGTGATTGATGTCGCGCGCAATAAACATAAAAAGACTGGGTTTCATGGCATACTTCAGTATGCTTGAGACCCTAAACCCCTAAACCCTAAACCCTAAACCCTAAACCCTAAATTTCTGACACCCCAAGCCGAATCGGTCGTCTGACAAATCTCAGGACGCGGCTTGGCCCCGAATTACTCAGGAACTGATATGAGAAGAGGCTTCATGACGGTTTAGGGTTTAGGGTTTAGGGTTAGCCACACCCACGGAGATTCCTAAGGAGTTGTATCCCCAGTCACGAAAGCCGCACTATAAAACCTAGCCTACATTGCTGACCACTCACCAGAAACCCCAAGCCCTAAACTCTACTCTTCATTGCTAAGCATTCACTATAATCCCTTCCTTCACCCTAAACCCTACACTACGTTGCAGGGCTTTCCTTGCGGAGTAACTCGGAGTCAGTCGATTCCATCATGCAGGCGGTGAGACTCACAGAGTAGTGCCCTCAAAGAGGCTGTGGCTGACCAGAAATCGACGGGAAACGAAGCAAGATCAGTTTAGGGTTTAGGGTTTAGGGTTTAGGGTTTAGGGTATAGCGGGTACAGCGTTTAGGGTCCAGCATGGTCGACATATCATGCGGTAGCCCGGTCACACAGCCTGCATCAGTAGAGTTTAACCTCTCGGCCAACCCCACAGATCAAGACATTGACGACAGCTGAACTGCGGGTTGTGCGGTCATGACCCTTCAAAACCCAAAGAAACGAAGATGAGACACCCCTTGGCTAAACTCGACGGCACCACTGTCGCAAGATGCAAGTGAAACTCGTGCAGCTACACAGCTAAACCCTAAACCAAAACCCTAAACCGCGGACCCTCCACCCTCGACCCTAAACCCTAAAGCTGTGAAGCAGTCCATGCAAGCTTGAATCTCATGCTCTTGGTCGGACTTTCGCTGGAGACCTTGCCCGCACCTCTCATGCTATCAGACGTATGATTCCAAGTAGACCCCAAACCCTAAACACTAAATTCTAAACCCTAAACCCTAAATCCTAAACCCTAAACTGTGGGCATTGTCGAAACCTCCAAGCCTCAAAAGCATCAAGACCTGACCATCATCTCCCCCGTCCATACCCCTAGGTGGTTAAGGACGATTCTACGGTAGATGATAAAAGTGCTATGGTATATTCCTCATAATGGGTAATGCAGGATTTTTTATCATCAACCGTAATAACCTGTGGTTCTAATCGTCATCACCTCTCATAGGAACCCCCTTTAAAATCCCTACGAGGTTAAGGACGATTTCAGTAGTCCTGACATCTAGTACCCCTATGAAAACCTATGCTTAAATATCGTCCCCCCACAATAACCCTTATAGTGACCCTTTTCAGTACCGTTGGGTGGATTTGGCCCTAAACCCTAAACCCTAAACCCTAAACCCTAAACCCTAAACCCTAAACCCTAAACCCTAAACCCTAAACCCTAAACCCTAAACCGATTGTGGGCGTGGCCGGGCCAGGGTTCGCTGAGCCCTGCCGGCCTCCAGCAGCCAACGCCAGGATCCACTAATCTTGGGGGCCTTGGGGTCCAATATACTATGAACACAGTTTAGGGTTTAGGGTTTAGGGTTTAGGGTTTAGGGTTTAGGGTTTAGGGTTTAGGGTTTAGGGTTTAGGGCAATAAGAAACCCTGGGAAAAGTAGGCCTTGGGGTCCAATATACTATGAACACAATAAGAAACCCTGGGAAAAGTAGTACTCACTATGTAAGACCCTACACTGGCAGCACCAGCAGCAGGATACATCCCTCCGATCTCTCGAAACTTTCATCTTGGGCTTGACTCAGTCGGACTACATCGCCGCCATAGTTTTGGGGAAAAGGTTGATGGCATCTCAGCAAATCGGTCGGCAAACTGAACACACGGAGGGATGGGCCGTCGACTATGCCGCGAGCTCATGCAACCAGCATTGCAACTACTCAATACTTGGGCAAGAAGGCCCGCAAGTCTTTATCACGCTGCTTCTCACGCGACCGCTTTACCGCTGTCGCTGTCGGGTCACGAAACGGCACCTTCTCGCCGAAACACCTGGATTGTCGCACTGGGAAGCTAAGCCGAATCAGAAAAATTGGGACCCCAATACAAGCCCAGGATCCTTAATGCAATATGGGAGTTTCCGAAAATATGGGGTACCTTATTTGGGGTCCTTATACTAAGGATCCTACTATTTAGGGTGCTAGATTAGGGTCCCATATTTTCGGAAAGCCCCGCCGAAGCAGGAGTATCCATAAGTATTCGATGGCTTATATAGAAAGAAGCCTCCTGGTTTCAAGAAACTCCACTTAGTTACCTATCCAGTATCCTCAGAGAACTGACGGTTGAACTTGGGGATTATACAGGGGTTGTAGTACGCCAAAAAAAGTAAGCGAGTACCTAGACTACCACTCTAAGCACGAAATCCTAGACCCTTTAACCGTGAACCAAGAAGGTTAAAGATCACCTACTCTACTACTCAGTTACCTACTCTACTCCCCTGATCCCTAAACCCAAGAAGGGTAAGGGTTGCCTACTCCAGTACTGAGTCATGTCATCTTCGCTAATATAGGGGCCTT